CTAACCAGGCCCTGCCCTGCACAGCTTCATAGGTAGACAGAACTGGCTTTTCACTTGCAGGTATGGCTCTGTGTGTAATGTGAAAAAAATAGGTGATAACTCAATTTAAACACATAGAAGGGTTCGCAGTGTTTTCTGTAATTCGTTGTTGCTTCGTCTCGCACGTCACAAAAACACACACACTCCCAAAAGATCTGGGAAAACTTTATTGGACTTCACCCTTAACAAAAATAAACAAATGCTACAAGTTTACTTCCAGTGTCACGGTGATGTTATTTCTTGGGGGGGAAATTTCATCTTGTAGGGCGTCAGGAGGTGTGTGGGGGGTGGGTGTTAAAACGAGCTAAAAAAAAAAACACACGAAGGAGAGCAGAAGAAAAGCTTTATTAAAAACAAAATAAACAAGTTTGTTCACGCGCTTCGGAATCCGGAAACACGAGCGAATCTCGCGTTGTGACATGGCACTCCGATAAAAACGAGGATTAAACCCATAGAGGAGCTGAGAGTGGTGAGAGCGGCCCTGGGGACAAAGACGTGGCGTCCCAGTGCAAAATCCATAAGGCAAAGGCAGGATTTATGACCTTAACAGCAAATTTTATGCGGGCGCAAAAACAACTGGAATTTCAAACCGGGAATGTGCCTTTATTTTTATGTTTAAACTATTGTGAAATTTGTGCTAAACATGAACTAAGATAAATAAGCCAGTGCACTAGATCCAACACACACACCCACTCTGTTACACTATGACTACTTTGTATAGTTTATTTACCACATTTGACTTTGTCCTTGCATTGCGTTTCCATTGTTATTTGTAATTTCTGCGTCAGCCATTTTGAAATCAAAGCGGCCATTTTTGAACTGTTCAATCGATTGCGATGAAATAACTACCTTACACCTGTTTGCATCCCCACCCTCCAATTTCCAAGTGCGATATTTCCTTGCTATGTTCTAGTTTTTTCTGCTACTTCACTGGGTGTTGCCGACTGTTGTCTCCCGGGGGCCTGGTAGCGCCAGTTGCTGTCGACGCTGCAGTTGTTGGTAATTGCTTCCTGCTTCTCTGTGTCTTCCTTATGTCACTTGTTATTCATACACAGATCGGCCTGAGGATCGCAGAGAGCGGAGGCCTACAAACAAGTGCCACCAGACACCCCCCACACGCGACCAAAACACAGCTCTATATAACTTTGTACTCCTCCCCATCTACACTGCGGGGCCCAAATAGCGTGCCCTTAATCTCCAGACGAGTCAAACAAGGCACCCCACCTACATTGCCCGCCCACACTCATACAAAACACTCCCCACCCCTTAAAAACCCCCAACCCCTTCATACCCCCCCCCTACCCCCTCTTCTAAATTTTCAAAAAAAAACACTATTCTCCCCTCATACTTTCCATCCTCTTCTTATCTTCTTTTTTTTTACTTCTCACTTTACTACTACCACTACTATATAATTTTATTTTTTCTTTTTTCCATTTATTTTATACAATATCTTTCTCTTTTCTTCTATTACTATTTTTTACAATTTTCTTTACCTCCCCTCTCATCAAATATTCCATCTTTTTCTCTCTCTCTCTCTTTTAATCTCAAACTTCCTCTTCATTCTCTCTCTCTCTCACTCTCTTCACTCTTTCCAAACTTCAAATCCTTCTCTCTTCTCTCTCTCTTTTTACCTCTTCAAACTTCCATCTTACACAACTCACTCATCATCAAACACACAACAACCAACCACATCAACACTCTTCCTCTCTCTCTCCTCCTTATAACTAAAATAACAACTTCTTCACTCACATCTACACTCTAATAATCCTCACACATCAACAAACACCAACAATACTCACTCTATATTACCATCACAAACTATCCCTCATCTCACTCTCACTCTCTACTTATCACATCTTCCAACTTCCATCTTCTCATCTACTTCTCTCTCATACACCTCTCACCACTTCATCTTCTCTCTCTTCTCTTCTCTCTTTAACTCTCTTCCAAACTTCCATCTTACTCACTCACTCTCTCATCACTTTAAACTCACACACTTTCCCTTTCTCTCTCTCTCTCTCACAATCAACATCACCACCTTCAACTTCTCACATCACACTCACACACCCACCCACCCCCACCCACCCCACACCACCCCCACACCCACCCCCCCCCCACCCACCCCACCCCACCCCCCACCCACCCACACCCCCACCCACCACCACAACCCCCCACCCCACCCAAACACCCCCACCCACCCCACCACCCCACCACACCCCCCACCCACACCACACCCCCCACCCCACCCCCCCACCACCCCCACCCCACCCACCCCACCACCCACCCCCCCCCCACCCCACAACCCCACCCCCCACCCACCACCCCCCCCCCACCCCCCCCAACCACCCCCCCACACCACCCACCCCACCCCCACCCCACACCCCCCCCCCCACCCCCCCCCCCCCCACCCCCCCCCCCCCCCCACCCCCCCCCCCCCCCCACACCCCCACCCCCCACCCCACCCCCCCCCCCCCCACCACCCCCCCCCACCCACCACCAACCCCCCCCCCCCACCCCCACCCCACCCCACACCCCCCACCCCACACCCCACACCCCCCACCCCCACCCCCCCCCCACCACCCCACCCCCCCACCCCACCCCCCCCACCCCCACCCCCCCCACCCACCCCCACCACCCCACCCCCACCCCCACCACACCCCCCAACCCCCCCCACCCCACCACCCCCACCCCCACCCCACCCACCCCCCACACCCCCCCACCACACCCCCCCCACCCCCCCACCCACCCACCCCCACCCCCCCACCCCCACACCCCACCCCCCACCACACCCCCCCAACCCACCCCCCCACCCCCCCACCCACCCCACCCCCCACACCCCCCCCCACCCACCCCCACCCACACCCCCCCACCCCCCACCCCACACCCCCCCACCCCCCCCCACCCACCCCCACCCCACCCACCCCCCCACCCCCACCACCCCCCCCACCCACCCACCACCCCCCCCACCACCCCCACCCCCACCCCCACCACCCCCCAACCAACCTCCCACACCCCCACCCCTACCCACCCCCACCTCCCCCCCAACCTCCCCCCACCATACCCCACCCATCACCAACATCACACCCTACATACACCCATACCCCCCACCCTTACCCCAACATAACCACACCCCCACCCCAATCAACCAAACAACCTACCCCCCAAAATAATCAAACAAAATCATAAAAACATCACCACCACACCTATTCTCCATACACCACACTTCCACATCCCACCAACAATCCCCCTATCCCCCACACTCACACTCTCTCTCTCTCACCTCAAACCTCAAAACACAACCAAAAATAAACAACAAACCCACCACTCCAACAAACTCACTCTCCTCTTCCTTCCCCCCACATCATATCACCAAACAAACCACCCAATCATACCATATCTCCCCTCTCCCCATCCTATCAAATGTATACATATATCTGTCCCCTACACTGTACACCATCCTACCTCCTACAATGTAAACTATAATATACACTCGGAACTTCCCTTTCCACGTCACCATGCTCCATTCTGTGTCCTGCTTGTGTGACTCTACTGTGAGACATTTCTCACCCATATTCTACCAGTCCACGTCCATGTCTCCTCTAGCTCCCATCTCAGAATCTCAACTATTGTGACAAACTGCTCTTTATTGTATGTTCCCATGCCCCTGTATGCGACGCCTCCGTCGCTCTCCTCTACATCCTCAGCCTCCCCCGCCTCAATATCGGTCCCACACTACCAAACACTAAGTCACAGAACTCCACTCCCTCTCCTCCTAACTCAGTGAAACTCTAATCCACCCTCCCAAATAAAACCCTCGTAAGACTCCTGACCAGGAAGATAGTCATCGCTGAAATGATCACTTGTCGCCTATCAGTGTAGAGCCACTTATCCCAATCCCGGTCTCGACACACGAGTAGACTCACCGCGAATCAGTGGCTCACTTATGTCCCGTTTCGATCTCCCTCGCGCCTGAATGTATTAGACCCAAACCCTGGTCGACATGCTTCTTCAGCAATTATATGAGCCCACAATCTCAATGTCACATACTGATAAATGTGAACTTAAAGTACTCGCTGTAACCATCCCTTCCTCCTCCCCCCCCCATAAACCATATTAAATCATTCTCTCCTACAAATACTTTCTTCACAATTTCACTACACCCATCTTCATTTCCCTCCCCTTTACATATATACCCATTTATATACAATAACCTATCCAATCTCCCTACAACTCAACGCTCACTCTCTATATATATATCGTGCTCCCCAATTTGTGTGTATCTTCGTGCCATATATGATAGCTGTTAAGTCTACTAAGCCTTGTCTTGAGTCACTCAGCTTGTGAGTCTCAGTAGCCCAAACCCTCAGATCAAAACATTCCTAACTGTGCGCTACTTCCAATGCATCACCACTTCATCACCCTGTAGTGTGTTCTCCTCTCACTCTGCTCTTGGCAGCTACGATCACATGCGCACTAATGAGAGAAAGATTTGTGTCCGTCATGTATCACGCTACCAGACTAGACACAGATATGAGTCGCGTGAGACTCCTACTACTCCGCTACATCTCTCAAGCAGAAGCGCCACATGAGATATATATAGAGTATAGATATACTATCTTACTCTAATACCACACTCCTGCACATGCATTTTCTATAACCCTCAAAATAATTCCTTTCCATCTGCCGTATGTGTTGATCATTAGAAGACTATGAAGTACTATTGGCACTCTGTAATATACTTAGTCGCTCCCCTTAGGCTGCATGCGCGGTGTTGATGACCCCATCGCTCTGCTTAGCATCTAAGTCTTTGTGATACTAAATTCCATCTGTGCACCCTCACAAGCAATATTGCTCATACCCAAGTACTCTGTGGTATGTTGAGTCTCACTCCCTGCTATTGCAATGTGATAGAGAGTATAGAGAGTCATCAGTGTGGTCACCGTTGTCAAACCTCTATGCATCCAGATCCCACAGTGACAGTGACCTACGAGCTCATGTCTGATATCGAGAGAGCCTGCAGTAGACCTCTCCGTGTTGAGGAGCATAGACTGTACAACTTTGCTCTGCTATAGCCTCCTAGATCAGTGTCACCTACTACGTTGCACATCTCTCTCGGTGTGTTGCTTAGCCTTGTGTGTCTCATCACCTTGACAAAGTAGCGCTGCTGTTGCACTATCTTCTCATGGCCTGTGTGCCTCGTAGACGTGTCTGTGTGGTCACCAACTAGCAAGAAACCCCCTCAATCGAGATCCCGTAGACTAAACTAGACGGACGATAAATCAGCAACGCACCTCTACAGCGTGTTGTCATACTAACAGTAATATTGATAGCATACTAGTTTAAACGCAGAGTGTGACGAATCCTCATTATCAAGATAATCTAACTGTTCACATCCTCTCTCTATACGTGTCTGATCGAGCTTGTGTAACTAGTCCACCACCAAACTGTGTCAGATCTCTATCTCTCACACAGATTCGTGACGCGCGGGTCTATAGGGGGGTGGGCAAGTCATCGGGGTCTGCACCTGCCTCCGACCTGGTGGCCGTCCGACTCAGCTACACGTGAGTCATGTCCGAGGTGGTGAGTTCACAGGGCCTTGATCGTTCAGCGGGGGCTTCAGGCAAAGTGGGGTTAAGTGTCTTGCCCAAGGACACAACAACAGCAGTCATCAGTGGCAGTCATGAAGTAGGTCTTGTGGAGGGCTCAAACCCACAACCTTCAGGCCCAAAGGACAAAGCTCTACCAACTGAGCCACTGTTGCCATCTTAAAGTACAAATTACAGGTTTTTATTATTTTCCCATTTAGATTGTATTTGGTGATATATATCTGTTGTATAAAAACGTATATTGTTGCATCTATCAGGTGTGGCTCTTTGGTCCCTGAGTTCCCCAGTCAGATTGTGATTGGGTGAAAGAGGGTTAGGGTTTATATCACCCTGGTGGTTTTACTTTGAAAAATGCATATACTCAGCCCATGATCAATTTATAATTTAGGAGCACAGAAGATTTGCAGAATCATCCAAGATTGTAGATGTTTAAAAACTTTTTATAATGAGGAACACCAATGTGACAGAGATGTTCTGGGTTCATATCTGCCACAAATAGTCTTCATCTTTTGGCTCTTGGATGCCCATCGATATCATATTAACATCTGATCAAACTCATTTCCCAGTGTTGTCCCTCATACTCCCTATAAGTATCATATCGGTGCTTCTGTCATATGTACTTCATGTAGAGAAACCATGTGTCTGGATCCACAGCCTGTCCATCCACAGCAGCAGAACCCTCTCTCAATGAGGGCCGCCCTGAGGTTTCTCACTTTTTCCCACGTTATTGTTTTTTCTTTTGCTTGAGTCGTCCCTTGCAGATGCAGGGGGGTGTAAGGACAGTGCTTCTTGGATCCATCCAAAATGCAAAGAAGACTTCATATCATGAATACGTACATATCATAAAAGCATTCTCAAACTTAGGGAGCAGGTGTTAATAAATAATAGTATTGTAATAAATAAATGGTCCATTATAACAATGAAGAGAGGCTTTGTCAGAGTAAGTGTTTAGAGTACGCTTCTAAGTTGAGTCATATTCAAATGCTTGACACAAATGGTCAAAGTATTTCATGATGTCATTATTTAGAGCTGTAAACTTCTGCACAAGACCACAGTGTCAAATATATCAAGTTGGGTTAAATTCTGGTTTCAGAGGTAAACTTTCCTAAAACATGTGGAGACCCTTTGATACATTCTGAACCCAAAGTCTGTGTGGAACAGTGTAAAGTGTGCAGTTTTGTTAATGCATCATTTCTGCCCTTATCGCACTATCAAGATGTATAAATACAGCTTAGAGAATCAGAATCAGAATTATTTTTATCAGCCTTGTAAATAACAGGAAGTTACAAACTAGGAATTTGGCTCAAGTTGCAAACAAGTCATCTGAGCTGAAGCTGTGTAGTATTTTAGGATGAAAATAGAGCTCTGGAAATGTCCTTTGTGGCACATGTGAATTTCTGAGCGGTCAAATTAAGCAGGATTAAGAATGGGAGGGGCCACACCTCATGTGACATGACTCAGAGTGTACAGAGGGCAATCTGACCCAGAAGACAAGCTACAACAAAGACAATACTGGGCTGAGAGGGGGCAGTCACACTAACATCAACCACTGGCCCACCATGAAGTCTAATTGGAAATACTTTTTGAAGGGTCATAACCATAAGGCAAAGACGATAGTTCTCCTGACCTACAAGGTCACAAATGGCATGGTCCCCTCCTACCTCCGGGATACAAACCAAACTGTGCACTCCACTCTCAGGATGCCCCAGCTCCCCATCCAAGTCAAAGAGCCCGACACAGTCCCTGTATGTAAGACCAGGCTCCAACCAAGCTCTTTGGATTAGCATGGGGCTATGGTCAAGTACAAACCACTTTTGATGTGTCTCATATGGTTCAAATCAACTCCAATTACTTTTCTTTGGCGACAGTGGCTCAGTTGGTGGAGCATTGGCCTTTGAGCCTGAAGGTCGTTGGTTCAAGCTCACACGAGACCTTCTCCACTGATGTCTGCTGTCGTTGTGTCCTCCTTGCCTAGTAAGAGTGTGGAAGTAATGTTTGCAGCATGCCTTGATGTGTATTTGAGTATTCATCAAAACTGAAATTTCCCCACTGTGGGACAAATAAAAGACCTTCTTCTTCTTCTTCTTCTTCTTCTTCTTCATCACAACAGTCGTTATCTCAGAGGACTTCACAGAACTGTTGATTCTGGTGCATGTTCTTTACTTTCCCTGCTCTTCACAGACAGTCTGTGCATTGCTCTTCACCTGTTTCTCTGTTTATTTGATGAACACAATGATGGGACTTAACACCCTGGACTTTTCCCTGGCATGTCATGTTTTCGGGTTCAGCTTCTTCGCCACCAGGGTCCAGGCCTCGGGGGGTCGCAAGCTCATAATCTCTTATACACTCTCTTCCGCATACGTCATGCAGTATTCCTGCCGGGGTCTGATCACCAAAGCTTATCAATAAATAAAGCAGAACTCAAGTCTTCTGGTGTTTATTCATGCATCTTGACAATAAATCTTCGAATGCAATCTTCTCTTGTCTCGAGTCTAGATAAAAAGTTGAAAAAGTATAAAAATCAAACCAGTTTTGATTTGTACCTGTCTCTTTATGTGTCACTGTAAACACCATCCCCTCAAAAGCTCAACATTGCAGTTCATTTGAGCCAAAATGCCTGTGTGATATGATCACAGGTGAAGTGAGAGGGATAAAAAAATCAATGATCAGGTAAAGAGTTCTGGTTGTGCAACATGAGGAGAATGCTGACGAAGTTTACATTTAATAGAAAAGGGAAGTCGAACATGCATTGAAGATCCTGTGTGATGATAACGGTTTTCTCCTTTATTTATAAGTTTTCTCCTTATCATTTATAAGTAGCCATCCCTCTCTCAATGTGGACATCCCCGAGGTTTTTTCACCTTTTCCCACTGGGGTTTAGAGTCGTTCCTTGCAGATGCAGGAGGGTCTAACAAAAAGGACTGTAGTGAGGATCCAGGACACTCAAACATTTAACAACATTTAACAACATTTATCAACATTTATGAACATAAATCATCTGGTCATCTGCCCCTTATGGACCAATGGCTCAAAGTTGCATTTGATTCTCTGATCTGTGTTGGCAAAATCAGCGGTTTTGTAAAGTCCTCTGAGACAACTACTATTGTGATTTAGGTCAGTGCAAGAATAAATTTAATTCAATTGAAAAATACATATTCTTTATCGGTTCAGAGAAAATATCTAAACCCTGATGAATTGCGTTTGGGTCCCCCATGCAGGTCAAAACAAAAAAACGATGTGGAGGTGGTGCTATGAGACATTCATACAGTAACTTTGTTGCTCTATTTGCAAATAAAAAAGGGCTGCCATGGAATTACACACTTTTGGCACACGATTTGAGCCAATGTAATTAATACTTTCACTTTAATGCAGTGGATCAAAACAATGGGACGTAGAAGAACATTTCTATGACCATATTTATGACTTATGTCCAAGTACTTTAAGATAGTATCCCTTACACTTAAAGGCTATTTTTTCTAGGTCATAATCCATCTGTATGCTAGCATCACTGTGGAGTGCACCGACTGAATGCTGAAGAGACCGATTTGAACAGAAGCTAGCTGGATTTGTTTCCGACAGCATCAGCGGCCGTAGCAGGGGCAGACGTGTTGCTAAGATGGTTGCTAAGGCAAGATGGTCATTTCCCTGCGAATGAAGGCAACAGATTGATCAACCCTTTGTTTGGACTTTGGACCTGCCCCAAAATATATGCAAGATATGTTTGTTCCATAAGAAAGCAAGAGGGTCCACAGGTCATCTGGGACAGGTTTACTGTGTGTCCCACATGTCAGGACCAAAAAGAGTGAGGTAGCATTTAGTTTTTATGCTCCTCGTCTGTGTCTTCTACATGAACTGCAAACTTTTTCCAACCATATGAAAAAAATGAAATCACAGATGCATGTTTGTGTGTGCACAGTATATCTATGTATGTATCATATACGTATTTGCATATGTATGTATATATTTTTTATATTACTCATTTATTATGGTTTTTATTGCCTCATTTACACTAGCTCGCTTCTGAATTATACAGACAACGTCAAAACATTAACTGAAGGATCATAGAGAGCCCAAAATGCTGAGAGTGACACAAACGGTTTCTGAGCAAGAGGCAAAGTCAATAAAAGCCAGAGAGTTGGAGCAAAACTTGTCCACAAGTCATGGCAATAATTTTTAGTCATGGCAGCTACCACCATTGTTGACCTCCCCGTCATCTCCACCCTTTGCTCACTCCTCACACAGACATAACACCCATGACCCATTACACACACACACACTCACACACACACACACAAACACTCCAATGTTACCTTTTGTTTCCCGTTGACTGTCTGTCCTTTCCTGAACCTTCTTGTGTTTTGTATTTTATTGTCATATGTTTGTCTCTCTTATGTAAAATGTCAAAATAAAAACTCAAATAAAAAAGATAGTTGCAGCATGTACAGTAAATCTTGAAATGAAATGGAAATATTTGTAGACACTAAATCCTCTTCTATAGGAAAGGGGTGACGAGCTACTGGTTGCTCCTGAGCTTTAGGTTGGAGATCCCTGATATACCATTTATCTCATCAACTGAAAAGTCTGCCCTGCTCTGCTCACAGACGTCTGACCAAAGGTTTAGCTGCCGGGGAAAGAGAATGTGTGGCCCTTCAGTGAGCGTGAGGAGGCCCCAGTCAGTGCCCTGAAATAGCTACAGCGTCTCCAAAAGAAATGAAACGCAGCCATTTATTTGTCAGGGTGTCTGCTCCTCTCCCCGTCTCCTGCCTGTGTGAATATGCATGAGGATTTGGGAGGTATAAATAGCGGAGGTGTCCGTATTGCCAGTGCGTTTTCCATCAGCACAGAGAAAGGCTTTAATGGGCTTATTATTGAAGCGCATTACATCACCAACGGCCAATTACAAACGCCTTACAGGAGGAGAAGAGGAGGAAGTTACTCCAGGCAAAGTAGTCCAGACATATATCTTCTATAGGTTCTTAGGCACCATTAAATTAAACAATTGCATCGTGTAAAATGAAATAAAGTCCTATCTTTACTTTGCCACTATGTCTTCTATAGTATGTAACAATGAGCTGTGAGATTTATGAGATGCAGCCTCCCCTGTGTTTTGACTGCTACATTATCAGATCTCCAAATGCATATGTGCATCACAAATCATAGCTTTGGGTGTTAGATTTGTTTAGCAGCGTGCTCCCTGGCCCACTTCCATCACAGTCTCTGGTGGTAATCACTCAGTCAGACTTGTGCTCCACTTTCAGCTCGCACTTCTGCGTCTGACCCACTTTGATCTGCTCCATTACAATAGTCTTGTTGCAGCACGGGTGGATGGCACTAAAGTTCTGTGTGGAAGTGTCCCTCACGTTGTCAGCGGCACAGCTCTTGTTCCAGATGCATGAAGGGTGGGTGGGGCTGTGAGGTCAGCATTAGAATGCTCTGGGTACAGCTGGAGAAAGTCGTGAGATTAGAGCTGGCGATACAAGCAGAGCAAGTGTTGGAGAGAAAGAGAGAGATAAGTTGAGGAGGGTGATCATACGGCTGATAGGGAGGTGGCTGAGCTCTCTCCCCCGGAGCAGCTCTGTGGATGTACTACCTCTTGGGACCTTCACATGATGACCCACAGCGCCTGGTGCCACCGCAGGACACACTGACCTAGAGGCGTGTGGTTCCAGGGCAGATGCAGATGAACCAAACCTGAGAAACAATCGGGCCAGTTTGAGGGAGGCATAGGGAAGAGAGGCTCTTTATCAGAGCCATTGATCGTGGCGTGTGTGCATTGATCCAAGTCCACCATCTGCTGGAGTTAGATAAGCGTGCGAGGGCCTAGGCATTGTGCTGTCACTCACTGAGAGTGCACTATGAGCAGCAGAGAAAGAGCCAGATCCAGCCGGAGCACGCACAAGAAGGGAGTGGTGCTGTGGAGCGGAGGAGCGAGGGGGGCGCTCTGCAGCAGGGAATTATGGGGCAGGATTAGCCTCCTCACTTGCAGGAAACAGAATTTTAAACGGCTGTCTCCTGGCTCCCTCAGACACACACACACTACCCCCCGTGTCTTCACTGCCCCCAGCCTGACTCCTCACACTCTGCACTGAACTTCATCTGAGCTGCTCCAGTCAGAGACAGGCCCACAGCCTCAGACTCTGCTGCATTATCAAGATGACTCATTCCTCTTCAAATGTAATCATCATTTAGTAGGCCTGATGGATCTTATCACAAACACGGCACTCTCCAGCTCCTCTTTGACAAATTCTGATGAAATACATCTAGGAATCTAGAGAGGGTTCTCCAGCACTCTGAGCTGTTCATTTGATCTACTACACTTCTGATCCATCCACAGTCCTGACAATCCCATTTTAGTGGCTCACATGTGGCTGCCTTTTGTTTTACATTTAATCCTGAGGATTTGGAGAGACATAATATGGTGTATCACAGTTGGTATTTGTTTACAACCGTATAAGTCCATGTGCATTCGGCTGAGTGGCACCTGTCCCCTTCCCCCATGTGGTGGTCCCAGAGTAAGGATGGGGAAAGACATTGGGGTTGCCAGGGCGACCTGTAAAAGAGCAGCACCAGTGGGTGTGGGTTTGGGTGCCGCCGCCCACACCCCGCCGCTCCTATCTCTGTGCAACTGTCTCTAAGTCCATTCTGCCCTGTTGTCGCTACTTTTTCTTTGCTCCATTTTACTCTTTAGAATTTGCACATTGGGGTCCAACGCACAAGGCCGCTGCTTTGTGTGCGGGTGGGGGGTGTTTTTGATGTGGCGAAAGTGCTACGGAGGGATTAGTGTGGCCGGTTGGATCATCTTACAGCGCCGAACCCCCCAGACTCACGGACAATGGGGATTAAAACTTCTCTTATTCTTCGGCCCCAAACGGCAGGATGACAAAGACGGTATTCCTCTGGGTCTTTTAACGGGGGCCGCGCAGCTCGAGCCGTGCACCGGGAGCGGGGGATGGGGCCCAAGCAGGGGTCTTCAACACAAAATTAATCCTATGGAATTTTCTTCTCATTGCGAATGGAGATTTGTAGCTTTGGCCTTGCTATGATGGCCGATCCCACATAACGCATCAGTATCACTCAATAGAGGATCAGCACATCCGCTGTCTGTGCGGTCTGTGCGGGGCGGTCTGTGCGGGGCGGTCTGTGCGGGGCGGTCTGTGCGGGGCGGTCTGTGCGGGGCGTTGTGTGCGGGGCCTAAGGCCCAGACAGATACACATCTACAACTAACAGCAGCGTGGCTTCAAAAGCAGGATGTCAATGGACCATTTAAAAGAGATTTGATAGATTCATTATATTTCATTTACTCACAGAAGCCCTATTAACCAATCACAAAGCAGTTAACAAGTCCAGTCCATCTGCCGTCCTGCCACAGAGCAACTGCATGGGTAAAGATATCAGAATGGTGATGATTTAAATGTCAATTACCTTGCACCTCACACTTTGTGTCCACTGAACAAGTCAACAATACATGACTAGCAGGTCCAATTATGTGTGGGCACAGCTATTCTGCATCTACATTGTGTTGCCCTGCTCTCCTCACAATGTCACCCTGTTGATGAATCTCCAAATGCATTGTTGTCTCTTAGGGGTGTTGACAGCGAGCAATTTTCCAAGTACAAAATGACAAAATAGCCCCTCCTCCACCCGGGTGTGTAGCAAAATTGTTTTTCTAATAAAAAAAATGCATCTTTTGATTGCAAGGGCGGGGATATTGTAAATATATGCACCCCCCTCCACCACCTTCCAGGCTCTTCCCTCTGCCTCTGTGCAGTAAATAAAAGATTAAATGAGTGTTCTAAAAACACGACTGGTCACCAGAAGATAATTGTTTCAGCTTTGTTTACTGTGCGTCAATGTTTTCTCCTTTTTAGTCCTTTTTTCTTTTTCATTGTGTCCGTAATTAAAATTCCTTTATTTTCAAAGTAGTTCTGAAAGAAGACGCCAAATTGCCTTTTCTGTGTTTCTGTTGTCATTGGTCCTCTATGGGAAGGGGAGAGGAGGGAGGGGAGAGCCATGGTGGTGTCCTTGGCACTATGCAAGATCAACTTTATACAAACAAGGCTCTCTCCCTGGTATTCTGTCATGGCTCTTCACTATGGCAGCAAAAGTTTGTTAATACTAAGTACGTAAGTCATCTTTATTTATATACATGTAGCGCCTTTCACAGACCAGAGTCACAAAGGGCTATACAATTGTCGTTGGCATTTGTCCTCTCACTCCACACACAGATGGGTGCGGGGTCACCATACACACATGTTTTTAGTGGTAGGGGAAACCGGAGCACCCGATGGAAACCTTCGCAGACACAGGGAGAACATGCAAACTCCACACAGGCCTGGAGGTGGAATCGAACCCTGGACCTTCTTGCTATGAAGCACAAACGCTAACCACTGCCTCATCGTGCTGCCTGACTGTCTTTCAACTTTTGAATTTGTTGTTGAAAAATGACCAGTGAAAATGAAATGAATTCAGTCAACATCCAGATCTGATTCTGTCTTGCCTTCTATAATAGTTATATAATGGCAGATTTTTGGGGACTTTTGTCTGATACAATATTTCTGTTTTAGAAGATCTTACATTGTTTGAGATTGCAGGTCTAATCAAATTGGTCGTTATACAAAATTGAGGTGTTGATGGATCCCAAAAACAAGATATGTAAATGTGGCTGAAATGTACAAGGCTCCCGCTAACACCTTATAATGAAGAATACATCTCCTCCACACACTCTGAAACATGCTTATCTGGCACACGGACACATTTCCGCAGATCTGACTTCCATGCACACTGATGAAGCCCCAGTGAGGCTGCCTCCTCTGAGTGGAGTTCTTTCTCTCACACTGTGTTTATGTTACAGTCACAACACATGTGACAATCAGGGAATTCATTACAAATAGGTGACAATGAGGTTTCCAGCAGCCAATTTTCCACATGTCCCTGTGCTCTACAGAGCAGTGTGGAGCTGACGTGGCCTGGGTGTAAAGCTTCTCTCACATGAGGAGCTGTTGGCCCTGAAGTGAACCACAGTGGCCGGGCCAATAGCACATTATAGAGCAGGTCCAGCACATTCACACATTCACATCAAACACCAGTGCAGCACCGTGCCATCACAGGCTGCGTTGTCTCGCTATCCTTCTGCCTAGCCATGCGCCCATAATTGAATCTCAGGTTGGGATTAATTCTAGGATGTGCACTTGACTCGGTCAAAACAACTATTACAGGGAGCCAATGTATTTTTTTACACAGTACTTCACATTGATTGGGCAATGTGCAGCCACCAGAGACGCTCTGGATTCTAGATGAGTGTCATTTGCATGAAATGAGGGGTTTAAAGTCGGTGTCTGCCACAGGCCCATCACCAATGTCCTAACAGGCACACACAGACCAGTGCACCTGCAAATAGGACATGGAAATATAAACATGAATACTACACTGCAGTTGCTACACTACACTACACACTAGGGACAGTCTGAAGAGGCCCAACCAAAGCTGTGGTCAGCTGAGGTATAAAGAACAGCAATCCAAGATGTGATCTCAGGGACCAGAGGCAGGCCTGCTTTATCCAAAGAGAAAGAGAAAGGAGGCCTGAGAGCGGCTGAAAAAGGCCCTCTGTCAGGAGGAGAACAGCCCTGCCTCCTCCCGCGCTGCTGTCAAACTGCATCAGCAGTGAGGAGCAGTGACGCTGCTCTGCTCCAGACCCCCCCTCCGACCCCCCTTTACACAAAAGAGTCTGTGAGGACTCACTATGCATTTCACATTCATTTATCCCTCTGTGGGACACGGCTGTCAGGGTCAGCTCGGTGCGATGAGACAGGCGGGTGTGGAGGTCTGGGGGGGTTTGGGCTGTAAAGGGAATGCTGGTGTCACAGGTTGGAGGGGACTGGAAAGGAGAATAGACAGGAGATTTGGGGTGAGACCGAGGTGATGGAGGGTGGCCTACCGCACTAATAAAATCCAAAAGAAAGCTCTGTCCAGAGGCTTTATTTGATGGAGCTTATGCTGCCTTCCATGGGGTCTTCAATAGGAGCTGGGAGAGCGTCACTTTGCCGAAACCCATTAGCCTGTATTAGCAGCTCCACACAGCCAAACCCTAAACAGGCCACAATAACCGCGAGGTACAAGCCTTGAGCCTTAAGACCCAAAGGGCTTTGAATAGATGCTCTGCAAATCATGTTGTTGAACAAATCAGGTATTAAGGAGAGCAGAGTTGGTCCGAATTTACTTTCCCTAAAGACCTTAGTTAAGCTAGTTACTGCGGAGCTTTAGTTAGACATTGCTCGCTTGTGCATTTGTGAGGGGCCATCATTCTTCAGAGATCTTAAACTATGACACCCCCCCCCCCCCCCCCCCCACACACACACACACACACTGCCACATAAACCCTTCCACTTCTACCCTCCGCTCACCCTCACACACAAACTCCATGAACAATGGGCTGCTATTGGCAATTAAATGCTATTTGGAGATCCCAGCGCTAAGCTAATAGCATTACTGTTGTGATTCTAAATGGCAGATAGGATTTCCCTCTTTACCAATAAAGCACGACTCACTGTCTTACCAGCATTACAGAGCTTACCTTGGGCTAATGCTTCTGAGCCGTCCCGATTACCATTTGAATATTTCCTCTTTACCACTGTCAGCAACCTTTGGAGAGCTGTCCGTCACATGTGTGCTGCTCTGCCTTCGGCCCTGAACCACCCAGGCAGCTCCATTACCTACATGTGTCACTTACATTCTATAGAGGAACTCAGGCTGAATATTGAGTCAAACACTTTCTTTTACTTTACACTTCCCGTCATGCACAACTATTATTATTTGCTTTTTATCTGCGGTGGAGCCATACTGGGAGAGTGCAAATCCACCTCCATGATAAATAATTTACCTTCAATAGAGCTCCTGCCACTGCTCTGTTTGTCCAGAGATCAGCACCTATTCTGTGGCCAGGCCTCTTTGAGAAGAATATGAAAAGGCAGATTTAAAGGTGAGGCCTGGTCAGAGCGGAGAGGGAGAGCGGGCACCCTCCCTCTGTAACCCCGGGTGACAGCCCAGATCTGATGCCCCAAAGATAGACAGAGTAACAAATGCAATTATAATACAAAGCAGGACTGCACGATTTAGGCAATTTAGTGATTCTTCTGATTAACAATACAATGTGATTTAAGTAAGCA